TCTGCCTTCAAGATGAAACTTAGGTGAACACCGTTTCTCGACATGCCCGATCCGAATATCGCGGTCTCCCGGCTTGAATCGTTGCGAGGAAAAAGCAGGTAGTTTTCATATGGATGATTAGAAGAAAAAGTATCAATTAACTGTTCATAATTTAAATCAATTTGACGTTCAACTGATAATAAACACAGATTGCTGAGACGTTCATCACTCACACTGTTCCTCGACGCCGTTTTTATTTGCTTTAATGTACTGAACGTGCGCTCGCAGGTGGTAGAGCTAACTGGAAGAGTAATGGCAGCACGAAGTAGAGACAGAACAGACGAAAATGCTTGTTTAAAAAGAACAATTTCAAAATAAACATCAATAATTGTTTTCGATTTTGTATCTTTCAACATGTTCTTTAATACAGTAATTTCATTAGTTAACGATGGAACGTTACATTTCACCATAGAAGCTAAGGGTATCAAATTGTCTGCATTGAGCTAGAATATACAAAAGAAATGCTTGCTTAACGAGAATAGAAGATATGCTGTTTCTCGACAAATTACTTACAAAGCTCGGACTATCTGGACTTAGAGACGGAACTACACTGAGAATTTCACAGTTTTTATTCGAGAAACGATCATTCAGTTCAATAAGAACTGCATCAAGTAACGGATAGTAAAGTGATGTTCTAAATTTATACTCATTATCAGCAACATCTTGATGACCAATCGTACCTGTAATAATTGAATCTTTAAAACGAGTTGACAGTGTAGGTATTCTTCGAAGCCGTGATGGTACATTTAAATCAATCTGATGGTCTGCTGTGAATTTAGAAATTTCGACAAACAGATTTTTAAATACCTGTTCACTTCGCAGATCTGTCATTTGAGAAATAGTAGATTGCATAAGAATACTGGCTTTTGAAAAGTCCAGTTGTTTTCCTAAAAATAAAATAAAGGACTTAGAGGTTATTTAGTTTTGCACTTCCCCCGGAAGTGCGACTCTATGTAGTACTTACCTTTCAAAACATCTGAGACAATTTTAATTATTCCAAGTACATGCTGAATTATGAACAAAGTAGCAACGAAAATAGGCTCTTTAATTCTAAATGCAAGTCTCCTTGCTTTACTAGAATAGAGGTAAAACAAATGCGCATTTTTGTGAAAGTCCTTAAGCAATAACTTACCCAGATCTACCTTTTTCTTCTAATTCACTTAATGATTTCAACAACGCTTCGTAATTTACCAATCTAGAATTGATACTAGTCCACCTCGAATCGCACCACGTTCCGGCCCAACGAATCAAAGAAGTAATAGGCGTTGACTCTAAGTCAAGAAAATGAAAAAACGTTTGACAAGAAGTGAAATTACGTAGATTGTTTCACCAATTCTCAAGTATTTTGTACTTTCTTAAATCGTTCATTTGTAACGCTTGATGATGAGAAGAAGTTATTGATCTTTGAAACTACACTATAGTCGTGAAGATATGCAATATTCTTTGTTGTGTCGCAGATAACAAGATTTAAACGATGGCAAAAACAGTGCACGTGAATTGCGTCAGGCATATAATTTTCGCGAAGAATTTGTTGAACACCAGCTGTTCTACCACTCATCACCGATGCTCTAGCAAAACGTTACACAGAATTTTTGATTTGAGTCCAGTAGTAGGTAAACTGCGATCTTACCCATCAAAACAAAGTGCTATACATTTCTCCACGGGAATTTTCGAAGTATTTAAAACACAAATAATTTTATCAGAAAGTGTCTGACTGTTAAATGCATCTAGTTTAGTTAAAGCTAGAAATATTCTTTGATTAAATCATTGTCTTTTGTTTGATCAGCACACGTCACTTTGTCATCAACAACTCTTAAAACAACACTGAGCTGTTCAGAGCCTGAGATGTCTCGAGCTTCGTCGACCATAATACAAGACAAACGATTTCCAACCTTGAATAAGCAAAAACGACTGAAGTCGTTTTCTCCATTGGATTTTTTTACAAAACTCACTTTTTCAGCTATACTTTCTCTAACTTGACTTCCAAGATGATGTATCAGTTCATTTTGAATCGTTAGACTTAGATATGTAGCATTTGATGCACTATCTTCAAGAATTGATTGAGCTAAGGATTAGTGACTACTGTATACTTCAATATTTCAATGAAATTTCCTCGAGTTAAAGACCTATACGAGAGAAACAGCTTTTATTAATAAGACAGCAAATTCGAACGATCTTACTGTTCATTTCGTCATGTCCACGGAGAGAAATCATTTGGCGTCCACACAGTAACACAGTTGAAGCAATTTTAGCTAAACGTTGTTTGTTTTTCGTAATGAGCGCAGCTCTGCTTTTGTCAATGACTTCGACGACAGTTGCATGGTTTAGATTTTCTTTTACTATATTTAATATAATTAAAATACGGATGTTTATGTGAGACAGAATTTTCATGTTTGGAGAAACCAAAGTTAACAGTATTTGCATTTTTCCAGTGATTATACTCGCTAATAAATGCATCATTCTGAGCCTTAAAAAATAGAAGTAAAGAAAAACATAGGTAATAGCGAAGAATTCGTAATAAGTAAAAATCTTTTACTCAGCTATTCATATTCGGACCAATACTGAAATTTCTGCAGTAATAGCAAAAAGCAGAGTCAGCTTGAATTGAGTACTCAACCCAACGGTA